ACAATTGCCTACTGAAACCACACACAAAGAAAGCAAACTTGCTGTTAGTTATACAACGTTCTTTAAACAGTTTACCTAATACTGTAGCCAAACTTAATTCAGGAGATTGCTATCCAGCCTGTATTTCCTTTTCAGGACGGCCTTGTGCAGTGAAATTGGGATCGTTAACCCGATGTGTCTTAGGAAAACATGAGAAAAACAAAATTGATGATAATTACAAAGTAATAAAATATGTTCCAAAATAAACCCAAGTCTAGTATGAAGCCAGTCGATGTGTTCAAATACTTGGATTCTTGAAAACTGCAGTAGACATTGATTAGGTCTTTCAGAACTAGGTTACCCACAATGCTCTGTTGGATTAACCTTTATATTCTGCACATTTCGTTATTCCTGCTGTTTTTCATATTTCCGTCATTTTGATCCACGACAACCCGTATGTTGCTTGAGCACCTTTTGTCCAATAATTGTATTATTTTAACTCAGTGACCGTCACCTAAGGGCCTGCGTGATACTGACCACATCACCCACCAAATGCTGATTCGTATTGAAACATATAGGTCTAGCCCTGTATTCCCAATACGCCTAAAGGCGTGGGAAAGGGACCTTTCACTTTTACTGTCACTTAAATCACACAAATAAATGTGGGATAGAGGTAGCTGAGGTAAAATTGTCCAGGACTGGAGGAGTTAAAGACATCAAATCTAGAATAGCGTTAGCATTTCACTTAAATTAGGAATGTTTTATGCACTTTATCTTTGTCGGGTAATGTGAGAAAAAAAAGCTATATATAGAGCCAGTCGTGATGAAAGAGAATTGTTGGTATCAGCACATTAGTAACTAATTAGATGTTCGCTGCCAAGATATCCTTTCATTGAATGAGTCTGAAGAAAATCTGTTCTAGAAACAATAAATGTATAACAGAACGTTGATCCTCTATGGTACATCTCAAAAGTGGGACGCCCATCTTTAAATTGTCTGCGGTCACTGTGTTCTTCGGCATCGATATGTCACGTGTTTAATACCCTAAAACTTGTAACGATTATGAAAAACATATTTAGAGGAAGCCAGAACGCGACGATTCTCTAGAGCCATTTGTCCTGATACCACAAAATATCAGAGAATTTGTGGAGGCATTATGTTGGAGACTGTGGTGCAAAATTCATTACTTCGCTTACCAGGCGGCAAAAGGAAAAGGGAGTGTACTTTTCATCATCAACATCAGCATTCTCGTGTAATGTCCTAATACGCCAAATAGGGCTCGAAGTGTTCCTCGAATTAGTTCTATCTTTCTTGAACGATCTTTTCTATATCTCAGAGGAAACTCGGTCCTTTTGCCTCCCATTGAGGTTCGTCAGTTAAGTTTATATTAATTTAAAAAGCCCACTTGTCCTTATATCCGATGTATTCTCCTCCTCCTCTTCCTCCTCCTCCTCTCTCCTCCTCCTTCTTCTTCTTCTTCTTCTTCTTCTTCTTCTTCTTCTTCTTCTTCTTCTTCTTCTTCTTCTTCTTCTTCTTCTTCTTTTTCTTCTTCTTCTTCTTCTTCTTCTTCTTCTTCTTCTTCTTCTTCTTCTTCTTCTTCTTCTTCTTCTTCTTCTTCTTCTTCTTCTTCTTCTTCTGTTGCTGCTGCTGCTGTGTTCAACCTTAAAAGGACTATTGGCACTTTATGTTGTGGTTTATAGATAAGCTGTAATATCTGTGCCTTTTTCCCCAAAAGATCCATTTTCAGTAAACACTAATTAGTAGCTTTTTTTACGACATGCTTGGTCAGGGGCGATAGATTTGCCCTCACCCCTACCATTTCCCCCCCCCCCCCCCCATCCCCTTTTCCACCTCAAATGCAAGTGCTTATCAATGACATGAAATTTATTTACATCAGTTTACAATTGTTATGAGTTACCTTTTAAAAAAAAATTGCAAACAACAAGAAAAACACATTCTGCGATTTACATCAAGCTTTCACGTGCGCAGCTTTCATTTGGGTTAAGAGCTGGAATGTGAATATGTTTTCCTTGTCATTATCACTGAGACAGGTGATAATTAGCGAATGTCAGCTTGCACTTGCAGTAAGTAGGATATGCACAGTCGTACATTCAAGAAAGGCAAGTCGTTTGCGTGCACTAGTCAGGTATAAAAAGGTTGTAATTTGAGAACATGTTAACAAGAACTGAATTGTTACAACGTTGAGAGTTACTTGTGTTTGAAGTTTACCCATATTATTTTTTTTTAAACTTGCACGTAAGTTTCTAATTTTATTATTATATTTCAAATTCTGTACATCTCTATGTGGGAATCTTTGAGTATTTTAAAAAGACGCTATGCACTCAGAGTAAGATCTCCCACGCCCCCCCCCCCCCCCAACCCACCCTGCCCCTTTTATTCGCCGTCACCGGATGTTTGTTTGTTTTAGTATCCAAAAGCCATGAGTTGTTAACCCTTAGGTTCGGTATTATGGATATCGCAACGTTTCGGCCTTGATAAATACAGTAAATCTGGGAGAAATGTGGCTTTTCTGTCTACCCCTGGGAGTAAACCCGGACCACAAGAAGTTCGTCACACGGTCGCCGCGCCATCCGGTTTAGCCAACTACGCTACAGAGTCGGGCCGTTCACCGGATGTAAACTCTGATAGAAAGTTTTGGGTCTTCGTCAACCTCTGGAAATTAGGTTTGTTCGATTGCTGCGTGCACAACAGTTCATTTGTATGCAGAATCTTGGTGTCTTGCCTCTCATGTAGATGTACTCCGACTTCTAAGCCCCCAATCAGTCGACTCTTACGACATGCTCGTTAAGGAGGCAGTGGGTCCACTCTTGTTTAGCCTACAATGTGGCCCGGAATCAACACGGGGATTTTTTTATGACCTTTTAGTCTGTATTTATACAATGTATAACAAAGTGGAGAAAAGGGGGGGGGGCGCTGAAGATAAAGATCCCTCAAGCTGCTGCAGTGGCCACCAAATGACCTCCCGACAGAAAACCATTTCAATGACCTTAGCGAGAATTCTACTCGTCTCCCGAAAGAGAGTTCTTCATTCTAACAGTACAGCCACTGTTAACAGTGTTAATCAGAGGTTCTTTTAATATTTGGTACTTTTTTTTAAATTCACCCCAAACACAGGAAATCATGGAGTTCACGGGAGAGTGCACTATTCTAGGGGGGTTATGTGTTGCGGTTAGGCTTAGGAATTAGGGCTAGGGATATGGTTAGCCGGTGTCTCTGAGGCGGTCGTTGCTGGCAACGATTCTAGCCCTAATCCTCATACTAACCCTAACCCCAACCCTTGTCTATTGTGATAACATAACACAACACAACACCTGCCTCAGTGTCTCTATTTGCCAGTCGATTTATCAACATATCTTCAAATATTACCGAGGCTTAGAATAAAAAGTAAAGGTAAAGGACCCTTTTCCACGCCTTTAGGCGTATAGGGCATATAGGGCTAGACCTATATTTTATAGACCAATCGGCACAAGATTACGCCGGCCGCCTTTACTTCCTGGGACTGCACCCAGTACCCACTCAAGGCTGGGTCGACCTGAAATTCGAGGCCATTTTTGAAAAAAGTCCGGCTCCGTCTGGGAGCAAAACCACGACCTTCCGATCCGCTCTATCACGGAAGGCTTAGAATAGCATATATCAATACATTTTAGCCCCCCCCCCCTTTCATCCCACTCCGCCCCCTTTTGGGGGGGGGGGGGGGCTACAATTTAGTTTTAGCCAAGCCAACACAAAATATCTCTCTTTTATGTATCTCAACCCGCATACATATCTTCTTCTTACCCATCATCTCACGTTGACCAGATCTGATCCCTCCAGCAAACTTACCTATGCACATTACCTGTGGCTGAGTGAAGCATGCAAAGCACAACGTTCCAGCAACAGGTCTTACACCGCCATTCCAGTCCGCATAACATCGCTAATGAAGAATTGCCTCACTATTTACTGGATGATGTGGACTTGTAGTTCCTTTCCTTGTTCCACATGTATTTATGTTTCCCCGGTAGAATGTGCGTTCACCTGTTTTCTTCGGGTTTCCCCTTTTTCTAGCAGTATGCAGCAGTGCGTATCACGTGAACTTTTTTTTTTTTTTTTTGTCGATATCATTTCTGTTGCAGCTACTGTAATAGACAGTTTGTGTTGAGTACCTGCACCTTTTTAGACACTTTGCCCTAAGCACTGGTACTCTTGTTAGACACTATGGTGAATAGCAACACCCCTTTTTAGACACTTTATGAATTACTGACACCGTTTTTAGACACCTCTGCAGTGAGTATCAGCCCCTTTGTAGATACTTTGCGGATGTACTTACACCGTTTTTACAAACTTGTTGTGAGTACCAGCACCCCATTTAGACACTTTATGGATGCACTCACATCGTTTTTAAATATTTTGTCGTAAGTACCAGTTCCCTTTTTTAGACACTTTGTGGGAGTACTGGCACTGGAAAAAAAATAGAAACAACTCACTGCTTCTGTACACATGCGAGGTTTGACGTGGCTTTAACATATCGAGGCAGTGATATATGTTCGGTTTTGACAAAACAAAACTGAAAAGTATTGATACAAACGAGATCGAAAATGAGTCGACTTACGAGTAAACTACATACAGTTGGTTCTCTGTTGAAGCAGTTTAGTAGTTAAATTCATTCTTTTTATTGCAGATTGTCGTTTACACCATAAAACAGCGGACAAACAACAAGAGCTGAAAACCACCATCTGTAGTAATTTCCGTTAACCAGCGTCTGTGCCGTGCAAAAATAAACTTGACGCAGTTTGTGCTAACACCGGATCTTTGCTAGCACTTTAAATATTTAACAATGCGTCAGTTTTTTAAAGATGTCTTCTGTGGATTAGTGTGTTATTTTCTCTGCTATATATTTTATCATCGGTCTCCGGAATTTTAGCTCACCTATACTGTGATAATATATCATTTCTGGAAATAAGAATTTCCATTTATACACCTAAGATCACTCGTTACAGATCTAGACTGAAGTGTCAACAATTATGTGCGTGTCTCGGAGACTGTTGTTTAAAACTTCGCTTCTCCTTGTCGATGTACTTATTTACTTGCCAAATCTGACCAGCTGCCGACCGGGTGGATGTCCAGGGGCATGCTCGTGCGAGGAGAGTGACCTTGATCAGGTGAGCCTAGTGTGTACCAAGGCAGATATTCTGGACACTGTACCGGAGATGCCCGTTGAGTACGCCAAAATGGTCGTTAAAATGTAAGTAGACTTTCTTTTTTTTTTTACTGTAAGCTAGACGTAGTCTGTCATCGTCATCCGTGTCACCGTTGTCACTATTAGTGTCCTCTTCCTCCTCGTCGTCATCATTATCAACATCATCATCACCAAATTCACTATCGTCGTCGTTATCAGTAACGTCATCACTATCATCATAAAAAAAGCTCCTTCAAGGTCAGCTAGCTGTATTGAATTTTCAACAGTGCATTGTCCCACATATTCTGTTTCCATAATCTAGCTGATTTTCTGATGTTGTCTACTCACGCACACACACACACACACACACACACACACACACACACGTATATACACACATACAAACACAAAGGGACAGATTATCTCTCCTGTTTGTGACGTGTGACGTTAAACGGCCCAGTGATACGTACTGATAGTAGGGTATAGAAAGTCTCACTATAGAAAATACTATTAGAGTCTGAAGTTGTGGATCGTAATGTTGTCTTCGTAAATTGTTGCTACAGTTAATTGATGTATGACAAGCTAGATATGTCCAGTACTTCTTGAAAGGGAGTGATCAATTCAGAATAGATCACCAAAGTCTGTAACAAGAAAAAAAAGGGGGAAAAGGGGGGGGGGGGGGGAACACATTTGGAGCAGTGGTGAGTGACAGAAAGCTGCAGTGGTCACATCCACCTCCTTCCTAAAACCCTAAAACTAGAACAAGCGGGTAACCACCAAGGAAAAGGTGAAAAGAAAAAGAAGATCGCCCTGAAGTACACAGTGGACTACTCACCCCTGTAGGATGAATTTATGGATGCTGCAAATTTTGAGAAGTATCTGAAAGAACCAATCAAGGTTGAAGGCAAGACTGGGGAGTTTGGTAATAATGTCTCCTTTGAATCAACTTGAGTTGAGTTAGGCTTAATCAAGAATTAACATCCCAGCACTCGGGGCATTCCCACGCGTGTTCCGTCTTCATCTGTAGTAGCCAGCGCATAGTTCGATTACTGATGGCACCGTCACAATTTGGTATATGTTCGTCTTGCCTTTCTTCTGAGTGTAGTGAGCTGGCCAGATCCTCTGGTTACACCCAGGTGCCTCATTCTCTCCAGGCCATAATACTCTACTGATTCCTTTGCTTGTTCCCAAAGGGCCTTGACCACATCTGCCATGTCATGTATCAATTCACCATCCAGTGGTGCAGATCCAGCCAATTTTTATGCCTGTGCATTACCCACTAAGCCGGCATGGTCCGCAAAAAAAAATCTAAAGTATGCTCATTAACCGTGAACTTTCCCGTGAAGCTTGACATTCTGCTCGAAGCATACATGTCTTCACCTTTTTCAGCAAGCTTGCCGAGTCTGTTCAAATTACGACATGTGTATGCATCTTGTTCTCTAGCCACCGGAGAGCTACAGTTACCGCCTCCACCTCCATTTAACGTTGATCATTTGGTTTTGTCAAATCATAGCTATATCATCCACTCGTTAACACTGAGCCAAACAGAAAGAAAATATTTCAAACCACTAGCTAAACTGCAGGCATGCGGTCAGCTGTGAACGGCTACCGGCTGTCGGCTAAACAGATGTAAACAGCTTTAAAGCACAATATATGTTGGGTTATAAGACAACTGTTTATATTAACCTGACCATATTTACACACTTCGGTCTACAAGGGAGACGTGTTGCTGGAAGAATGGATGCCTTTCTAGTATTAGCTATGGTTGAATCTAGGGACTAGTGAGTTTCACAGCCAGCACACTTATGCCTGCGCCACTATAATAAATTACTAATTTGTAAGATTTGTATGAGGTATATTAAAACGTGATTTATAAACTTTTGCAGTCTTTTGTTTGACAAGCTAGTCTAGTCTTTGCGTATTGCGTGATTCATGCATATACCTGAACGGATTTGTTGTAGTGTGAACAGAATACCTCCGTACCACAAAACGTCGTTTATACGAATGCCAAAGGACGGAAAATTCAAGTGTTCGTGTTAAAAGAAAATCGTGCTAACCATTATTCAAATTAATACAACCCCGCTGAGACCAAATTTCTTGTTCACATTAAACTTGTGTTTTTCTTTACTTCTTGTTGATGAAATGTCACTTCAGCTGATCGCAGGATAGCCTAGAATTCGGTTGGGAGTTGACAGAGGGCCTGGGACAATTTTACTCGCACATGGAAAAGTCGGGCGGGCTTTTAATCGGGTTGAAATTGTCACCATCGGTGTTGGAACTCAGACAATCTAATTTCAGGACTGTCTATGCCAGCGGTAGACATAGTCGTCTCCTAACCGTGCATGTTAGGATATTTATCTTTGCCTTTAATTGACAATGCATCCATCATCTTTCTGAAAATTCGAACCCGGCTATTCATTATGAACGTCAAACACTCTAGTTACTCGGCCAGTCGCTCATTAGTCCTGAGACTTAACTTCACAGAAAGGTATAAACCTACACCTCAAATATACAATTCGTAGAAAAGTCAAATGGACATGTCAGAGTTAACCTACCACTGGCGGTTGAAATAAGACTTGAAATTTCAACGAGGCGAAAAGAAAACAAGTGGACAGATACAAGTGAACTTGTCGACCAGACAAATTTGAATGTTGAATAAAAATTGATATCGCAGCACTCGGGACACTTCCACAAGCGCCCCGACTCCATCTTCAGCAGCAAGCGAAGAGTTCCAAATTCGATGGTTCTAGTAACGGTTTGACTGTATATCCGTCTTCTCCTTCCATGGTTTTGGACCATGTTCCTTGTTGACATTTTTTTTTTTTTTAATAATAAATTTTTAATTTGCCCACCTTGAATATGTGGACTTTCGCCGTCCCTAATATTTTTTATTCACTAAGGCAGCGGTTCTTAAACTTTTTTTTTTCGCCGCGGCACTCTTGTCGCGCAAAAAATATTTCGTGGCAAACCTATCCTCAAAGCGGTTAAATTACTTAGCAAAAGGAGAAACAACAGTGCCCATTTAATTTTCAGTTGTCTTTAATGCGATGAATGAAACTGTTTGGATGCATGTTTCATTATTTTCTTTACGTGTGTGAGAAGTTTAGGTAATTGTACCTTCACATCTGTTTATCCAAAAAGTTTGCTACTGTATCTATTATGTAAGTGTACATTCGGAAGGTCCTGCAGCCTTGACAGTAGCAATGTCTTCTGAATACACCTGCAAGCAAAAACTGATCTTGGCTTCCCTCATGGTATTTCAGCTTCAAACTGCTTTCCTGATCTCAAACAGATTTTGAAACATGATTGATTATTGCCGCGGCACCCCTGAGATACGCTCGCGGCACCCAGTTTGAGAACAGTTCCACTAGGGTATGGTAGTAAAAGTTGGTAAAGTTCACCGCATAAAATTACTCAGCACACCGGCAACTATGAACCTTTTTTTATTGAAGTGAAAAGCGGAAAATGCAATGGTACAGACACATAAAAAGATCTAACGACCTCTACAAGGTTTCTAGGAGAGGGGAAGAGGAGAAGTCAACAGCAATCGGTGAAGCAACGACACGCTGTGTTTTACTGGAGGATGGTAGCTGCACAAAATGTATTGAAACACATATGTTAGTTGGAAAGATGACAGAGAAACTTCACAACAGTATCAAATGGCTGTAGTCAAGACTGCCAGATGAGCGAGAACCAGAACATATCCTCTCCAAAACTGACCTTAAAAACAATGCGAACAAGTATGGTCAGTTTTGGCAATCTGATCCAGTCAAATGCAGTTTAGTGTGATGTCGTATTCTGAACCCTACAAAAAGATATTTTTAACCTCAAAATTATATGGAATTCACCAATAACAAGTTTATTTGAAATATAAAATACAAGTTTTAGAACAACTTAACGCGTTGTGTAGATAAATCACTTGGTTGTGATGGTACATTGGGCAAAGCCATTATCTAATTGAGTGTTTGAGATATCGAGGCTGAGCGGTCTCGAGATATTGTGTCCATCTCGAGTCCTGGAGGTCCTGGGTTAAATCCCCGGTGAATGCTGGGATTTTTTTCACGTGGACTTCTGGTATTTTTCCCGAGTCTCGGGGTAGTAAGATAGGACGCCCGTGTGTATTGTTGCGCGAGTTAAAAAAATCTCGTGACAGTTGGAAAGCGAAAAGTGTAGCCAAACGGCGCTGCCGGGCCAAGTTTGTAGTTAAAAATCTTTCCAAATATTTCAGGATCCTCGCCGGTGCAACGGAGCTCCAGCACTGCGCTGCGCTACTTAGGACTCGGACTTGGGTTAGAAGTAGAATGGAGCACTTATGGGTTACTACCCGTGTGCCATGCTGTTGATTCGTTGTTCAAATCAAGTCAAATCTGATCTTTATCCCTTGTCATTTTATGCGACAGTGCTTTCTTGTTTTATTCTTCTTCTTCACGTTCACCTGCTGTAAACTCGGGCGAAGAGTTATAGTTTTTCGTCCACTTCTGGACTGTTGTCCTGTTCCAGAACCTGAGTGTTGCATGTGCACCCGTTTTACAGATCTGACTTATTTGTACGCAGATTGTTGGTTTCTTGCTTCTTAGGCAGACGCACTCCGACATTAAAGGAAGCTCACAATAAGTCGAATCTTACGAAATGATTTTGGATAGGCAGTGGGTCTGTTCCTGTTTTCCCTATAATAGGGCCCCAGAGCCCACACGGGGAAGCTTGCTTGTAAAGTAGGCAGCCTTAGGGCGAAGATTCTGTAAACGTAACCAGTGATTTTGTGTACCATAGTACGGACATTTTTACCTGTCCTTCTTACGTGATCCGTGTTAATTCTCCTATACACATTTTTGCACTACCCAGTTTATAATCAAATGCACTGTTTACTGTGGTTTATGTTCATGTCTAGACGCTTCAGCATTTATTGCTAACCCAAACATTTATTTTTAAAGTCATCGTGACATGCAAGCTCTGCCTCAGAATTGAACATCGCCTTGTTTTAGGCAATATATGAGAAAGACAGATTTTCTATATCTATGATTCCAGCGTCAAGATCAGACCAGAAGAGTTGTACTGTTCTGTGTGAGATTTACAGATTATATAGAAATCAGACACGTTCATGTGAAGGTTCTTCTGGTAAATGTCGACCACACAGAAACAACACTGAAGACATATAGAAAACATAGAGCTATTGGAAGATCACACAAAATATGCAATAATGGTATTCTGAAAATTTTTATTGTAAACGAAAACAAACTTATACATCAAATTAGACCAGTGGTTCTCAACTCTTCCGTATGCCGCGACCCTTTAATACAGTTTCTCATATTAATACTGTTTTTCATGTTGTGGCAAAACCCAACCATACAATTATTTTCGTGGCTACTTTATAACTTCTATGAATATTTGATTTGCGATGGTCTTTGGTGACTCATATGGAAGGGTGGTTCGATCCACAAATAAAAGGTCGCGACTCATAGGTTGTGAACCTCTAAATTATAATGAACTAAGAAGATCTTTACATCGTCTATCAACATGTGGCCTATGGAACATGAGGACGAGGAGAAGGATGAGGAGGAGAAGGAGGAGGAGGAGGAGGAGGAGAAGAAGAAGAAGAAGAAGAAGAAGAAGAAGAAAGAAGAGAGAGAGAAGAAGAAGAAGAAGAAGAAGAAGAAGAAAGAAGAAGAAGAAGAAGAAGAAGAAGAAGAAGAAGAAGAAGAAGAAGAAGAAGAAGAAGAAGAAGAAGAAGAAGAAGAAGAAGAAGAAGAAGAAGAAGAAGAAGACGAAGAAGGGGGGGGGGGAGGTTGAAGAGGACTATGGTTGGATGAATGTATGAATTGCTGACTTTTTCCTCATTTTTTTTTTTTTTTTTTTTTTTTTTTTTTTTTTTTTTTGCACTACGCATTCTGACCAATGAATGCATACATGTCTCTTGGTCTGTGATTAATTTAATGGAGAAAGCACACACACACACACACATATATGTATATATTATTTTTATTTTTCAAGATTATATGTAACGAAATAACGACATAAAATATGTTTGCTTTATTTCAAGCATATATCCTAAATTTTACTAATTGCTCTTGCATGTATGCTATTTCTTCTTGTCGTTTTTTCTATTGTGTGTTATTAAACAGCAGCCAAATTTTGTTTGTACCTGTTGTCTTCAGGATCATACAAAATCAGCCCAGACTAACCTCGATGGGTCAACGTTCACTACAGAACTACAGCAGCCTGAAACATCTGTAAGTAGATCGTAATTTATGTTAAAAGACATACATCATCTATTAATTCGTAAATTTGAATTATGTTGGAATCTCAGTATCTTTATATAAGGTTATTTGCGTATCCTTTACAGGACGTTGCAGAACCAACCCCAATAGCCACAGGCTGTTGTGTGGTTTTTCTAGGCAAATTTACGTCCAGTAGTTTTCAATTGCTTTATGGAGGGTCAGCTTTCTTGATACCACCGTCGAAACCAACGCAAGGCGCATGGCCCGCAGCTGGGATCGAACCCGGCATCCCGGCATTACGAAGCGTTCGCATCGACTTAGCCACAGAACCAACTCTTTATATAAAGAAATAGAAAATATTTTGAGAAATATCTCTCTGTTTTTAATTGATATTAATTATCATGATTTTAGTTGAGGTATGAGTTAGATTATCTTCACAGCACTCCGGACACACCCAAAGGCGCTCATATTTCCTTCTCAACATATTCATTAGCGTCGTGCGGTTAATAGTACCAGTACTATGTTGGTTAACAAGACTTCGTGTGCGTCCAGTGTACTTCTCATGCTTGGCTGTGCCGATCTTTACTACCAATTCGCGTTTTCTTAGCAGTGATGTGGACACGTTGCTTCCAAAATCCTCAGAACGTCCTATCTCTCTAAGGGCAATGACAATGTCTGCGTGATCCATGGGGCGGCAATCTTCAATTAATGCAGTACCTACCAGTCTATCAGCTTTCTCATTACCAACAACGCCTGCATGCCCTGGGACGAATATGAAAGTAACTGCACACACAGGATAATTTTGTAACGACTCAGACCACTGTCTGCGTAATGAGCATGCATCGACCTGCCGGAACATGCTCAAAGAATCACTCAGCACACACACATTTGAATAGTCCTGTGATCCCAGCAACATGAAAGTCTGTGTCACCGCCATTACCTCCACCATCGTCATGCTGCTGGTGGTCATTGAGAAGGCACCGCTGGCTTCCTTAACTGTTCTGTCTGAAGAGCAAGCAGTAAATGCCATGCACTCTTATAACGGACACGTCTGTGAAGATGACCACATCTGTCTCATCTGACTTGTCATTGATAAGCGCGCATACCTCGGCATTGACACCAGCTGGATTCTGCTCCCGACAATTCCTATCGAGCGTCACGACACAGGAGAATGTGAGATTGGGCGCTTTAGACGTTGGTATCCACTCCTCACATGGATGGATGTCTGAAAGGCTGCAAACCTGCATGATGTCATCCTCTGCCCTATTAAGCCTATTGCCCTTTTTCTTGAACAGCATGTGGTGCAAAGGGTGCTTTAGATCTGAGCCTATCTTGAGGTATGCACGAGCCCTACAGATCTTGATCCTGTAGTTCATGGTAGGGAAGTCAAGAAAGTACCTCATTGCTACACAAGAGGTGTCTCCAGTGCACCCTAGAATAATGCGCATTGCTTCATGTTGCACCTTCTCAAGTCTTTCAATCCGAGTATGGCTGACAGTGAGGATGGCAAGAGCATATTCGATGGGGAAAAAGTACAAGTGCTTAGAACAGAAACAAAAGCAGTCTCTGCTCAGTGTTAGCGGCAGCCAGGATCCTCATTGCTGACAGGTCTTTGTGTGCTTTTGTTATGACATGGTCAACATGTTCTTTGAAGGATAGGCTGCGATCAAACCTCACCTCAAGGTATGTCATTAGATTTGTTCTCGTCAAAATTTCCTTGCTACTTTCCACTGCTGGTAAGTCTGCCTTTACTATATGCGTGTTCAAGGAGAACCACGTTACTGCGGCCTTCAAAGGGTTGACATGAGCATTAGAATCTGCACACCAGGAGCAGGTGCGATTTAGTTCACGCTGCATTGACTTAGCAATCTCTAGATGATCTCTTCCATGCTGATATACTAAAAGGTCATCAGCGAATGACATGGTCCTGCCACTCCCGTGCAACTGCTGCTCAGTTATCAGCACTGTGTACACGTTGAAAAGCACTGGAGACAGTGGAGAACCTTGAGGCAATCCTGGGCTGATTGATCATGATTTTAAATGGCAGAACGGGAAACACAATAAATGATTACTATATGCCTAATGAGAATTCAGTTATTGGTAAAGTTTCATTGCGACTGAATACCACTGTCTCCACTAATAACTGGTAAGTTCTATCCCTTACATTCTCCTCGTCTATCTGTAAAACCATCCATAATTTTCTTCCCTTTTTACATCTGCTATCCTTGATCTTTACATGGTATTCAGACCATTTCACAAGATTTCCTGGTGTGAGTCATTCAATATTTCTGTGGATCGTAATGTTGCGGTGTTTTAACATTTTGGCGTTCTTGTCCATCTATGGGATTCTTATTACTGTTCTCTATTTACAGCACATTATTGTAACCTTAAATTGTAACTATATGTAAATAGCTAATTTCCATAAAAACCATTCAGATCTATTAATGTTTAATTATTTGGGGCACTAAGTTAGATTTGCTTTCCTCTGTGATTTGGGGCGGCGACACATACCAAAACCATTGGAGTGACAGGCTCAGCCGAACCGCTAATATATTTTCTAAAGCTGGGGCTAAGGAGGATTTATTATTAAGTGCTAATAATAATAATGTTATTAAAATTAATAATAATAATAATTTTAATAATAATATTAAAAATAATAATAATAATAATAAAAATAATAATAATAATAATAATAAGAAGAAGAAAAAAGAAGAAGAAGAAGAAGAAGAAGAAGAAGAAGAAGAAGAAGAAGAAGAAGAAGAAGAAGAAGAAGAAGAAATCAGGTAAAGGACCTTTTTCCCACGCTCTCATGCGTATTAGAAATATTGGGACCTTTATTGCATAGACCAAACGGCACTTGGTGGGTTATGTGGTCAGCATCACGCAGGTCGCCTTTATTTCCTAGGACAGTATCTGACACCCACTCAAGGCTGGGTCGACCTGGGAGCCAAGGTTATTTTTGAAAAAATTCCGGGCCCCAGTCAGGACCCGAACAAACAACCTAGAGATTCTCAGCTGAGCGTCTAAACTACGGCGGCTACCTCTAATAATAATAATAAAAAATAATAATAATGTGCTTAATCGCAAGTAAAAATAACCTTTATGAAATACAAATTATATAATCAGAAAAAAAAAAAACTTAAAAGCACAACCAACTTCTGTACATGGGCCAGAGAGGGGGGGCGGGGGGGGGGTGGTGCTTCATTACAGTTTGGAAAAGGGGTGCCTCAGCCACCCCCGCCTCTCCCCCTCCCCTCATCGCCAACAGTTATGAAGGGGAGCCCAATGTGTCTAAGGCGACAAGTTCCGGCAACTCTGCTATGTCTAAAGTGAATAAAAGCAAAATGATAATTTAATTAGCCCGCATGCTACCGAGGCCCTACGGTAAATACTGAATAGTAACACTTCATCCTAGCAGACATGTCGTAGGCGGCGACTGTGGATGGCGTTGGTGCCAATCATGGAAAAGTCGAAAAAGGCAACTTTAATACACAGCCAACCAAGATGAGGAGAGGCTCTTTTGACAATAATAATGACGCGGTGCGGGAAAAGCCGAACGGAGTCCGAATTACACTCACCTCCTTTCACCTAGGAAGATCTTTAGAACTGGCACTGGTAGTTTTCTAACTGTGTATGATCTGTGAATTATAGTGGAGGTAATAAGGGAAAGTGAACATTTCAGGGTTGATATTTCGGACTCTATGAAGCTAGATGGATTAGGGCAGTGAAAAATAGTTTAGATTCAGGTGAAACTATTTGGTTGTCTGGCCACATAGAGGCAAAATTTTCACTGCATTCAAAGAGTGGCCCAGATGCTGTCGGAAGAGGCAGGGAGAGTAATAATAGAACGGTAAGCAGTGAGTCCACGGATAATAAGAGCGTCATTTAGAACACCCGAAAGAAGTGAACACGTCTGTAATAAGTGTTGAGCACCTTTATAGTTTGTACAACTGACCAACATCATGGCACATGGGTAGTAACCCATAAGTGCTCTGTTCTGCTACTAACTCAAGCCTGAGTCCGAAGAATCTCAGCGCAGTGCACGAACACCGAAGCACCAAAGAGGATCCTGAAATACTTAAAGCACCAGTAAATTATAAGGATGATGTAAATCAGGAGAAATTTATACGCAGCTTCAAAATATTATATAAGTAATTAAAGGAATACCAGTACCACGATTCTGATGGGTGACCTGAATGCCAAGATAGGATCCGATAGCATCGGCTATGAAGAGATTATGGGAACACACAGGCAAAGTGTAAAGACATAAGTGTGGAAATAATTCACCAATATTTGTGCAAAAAGCCATTGTCTTTTTGACGGAAGCATTTTCCCGTATAAAGAAAAACACAGGGCAACAGTGAAATTACCAGCCCAATGAAATTGACCAAATCTGTGTAAACACAAAAAAAAAAAAAAAAAAATAGGTCAACCTTATATAATAATATGGCTTATAGAGGTGCATATGTATTTACCGACCATTATCTGGTGGTAAGTAAAATTATGTTGAAACTCAAGAAATATGTTAACATCTTATAATCGTAGGAACCAATATAATGTAGGATATCTCAGGGATAAATTAAATATGGACTAATGTTCTGTTACAGTTTCAAATAAATACCAGGTTCTGCAACATTTAGCGGGGGGAGGGGGTGGGTGTTAAACTGGGAACAGATCACAAAAGAATTTGGAAAGAATCTTCTGCAGAAGACCTTGGTAAATCAAACAGAAAAAAAAAGCACACATGGAACCCTTTAACATGAAAGAAAGAAAAAGCAAAATAGCAGAGATAAACAATAGCGAAACTAGAGCTGATTACTGGCGGTTGATCTGCCAGGCAATGAACGGTACCCCGAGTTGATCCGTAAAACCGGCCTGCGACCGGACATCGTTCTCCATTCTGCGCAAAAACGGCAGCTCATCCTGATTGAGTTGACTGTCCCGTTTGAGTCGCTTATGGAGGAGAATCACTTGTACAAGCTCGAGAAGTACAGTGATTTAGCAGCCGGTCTGAGAAGAAACGAGGCTTACACAGTACGGGTATTTGCCGTCGAAGTGGGAGCGAGAGGCCTCGTTTCCACTTCGCTCTACAATGTGGTGAAAGAACTAGGATTTCGCGGTAATGAACGGAAACGAACACTCAAAAAACTGGGAGAGGTGGCCGAAAGGGCCTCTAGCTGGCTATGGACGCAGCGCAACAACGTAGGGGACGGGCCTCGGTGAGCTGGTCCGGGTGTCTAGCGGAAAAGAGTTTCTCATCCCTTTGAAAGTCCATCGTGTCCGAATTGTCTGCCAGTGTTCCTCTGCCAACTGCTAATAAAAGTCCAACATGTGTCCGGTAAACCAAAGTAAGCTTGTCGCTCGGTCGTCCAGGCATGCTGACTGCTTTAATTAAGCTGCCGCGGCGGCTTCTTATCTCACAGTACCTTCTGCGAAACCACCAAGTCGTCTTGTCTCTGGCCGAAAGTAAAACACCATCCGGTAATTCCGTGCAGCGGAGAACCAGCCCTGAGCTTCATGAACTCAGGAGGGCCCACCTACGTCTAGGAATCGTGGGCCGAAACGTGTGTCGACGAGGATAATTTCTACTGATGACTGGTAGATCCCCGCTGTACTTGCTCCCTGTGAGTTTATTCATATAGCTCATAGAAAATACATAGACTCTAAAAAGGAAGTTGGGAGGTGAATACGGACAAATACAAGGAAATATTAAGATACTCTGTCACAAGAAGCGCAGACTTCAGCAGATAATTTTAAAATATATCAGAGAAATTCGCAATACCACAAGGAAATCAGAGAGATTGCCAGCTGGATTAGTCACTGACAAGGAACACTTATAACCAACACTAAAGACCATATTGACAGATAGGTCGAATACCTAAAATTCCTAATAGACCAGATCCCAAAGGTCCGTGCGGATGTTCAGCCTTTAAAAACGGATCTGGATATCAGTTGTGAGATATCATCTAAAGAAGAAATTAGGAAAGCTATCAGTCTCCTGCAGGAAGTGAAGGGTGAAGGTTCAGTATCATCTTTAGTCAAAAGTTTATTGTTACAGTCTCTTTACAGGAGGAACAAGGACACTTCGAAGTTTGATCAAACCAGCATCTCCAATTATTTCACAGTTAGCCGATCTCTTGATAGAGGGAGGTAGCATGAGAGAAGTGTATAACAGGGGCGGAATACAGAACATGTTAGAGATCCACTGCAGGCAACCTTAACTGTGGAGACGACACCTAATTTATTAATTATTCTCGAGGATATATGCACTGACTGAACTCTAGTTGACCTAGCCTATTTGGTTTGGCTGGTGTGCTATGGAAGTGTAGTCCATACAGCAAGCGACTTGTAAAATAGAATCGATACTAAGGCCTGACTATAGATGTGTTCGCTAAAACAAATGTTAGCGTTAACTGAATTACGGCGAAAAAATTAAAGGAATCTTTCGCTGGTTTCTAGACATGGTCAAGGAAAGGACGTTTTTTCCACGCCTTCAAGCGTATTGGGTTAGGCCTGTAATTTATAGACTAATCGGCACTGGGTGATGATATGGTCAACATCATGCCGGCCGCTTTACTTCCCAGGACTATACCTGGTACCCACTCAAGGCTGGGTAGACCTGGGAACAAATGTCATTTTTTTTATTTAAAGTCACGTTTTGTAAGAACCAGAACCCACCACCTTCCTATTCGAAGGCGAGAGTCTAACCCTACCCTGCGGCCGCTCCCCATATAAATTATATGATCACTAAATGATAGAAAAACCAGGAACAAACAAACCAGGAGAACAGTCGCAAACTGAAGTCAAAAAAAAAAAAAAAACGAAATGACATGGGCTTTAAAGTAAACTGACATTTTCCCGAAAACAGCGCTGTAAAACTGATTAGGAGTTTTGAAAATGTCTCAGAATATAAACATATTATTTGTGCTGCTACAGAAGTGTATGTTTGCAGTGGGGAGTAGGGCGTACAGTAACAAAGACAAACAGAAACTAATAAAATATGATGTTTTAAAACAACGCACTTTTCTCAGATGAAAATAAAACATAGAGTAATTTCGTCAGGAAGGAAAAGACGAGAAGAAAAAGAAAACTCTGCTACATCCAATAATCACAGAATCAAACGAGAGAATTTTGTTCTGTTCGATCGCATCTTTGGACAAACATTTGTTTCCTTCTTCTTTGTTTATCTCTGGCGAAAGTCCTGGTTGTTGAACTTTGACATTTTGCTCGGACCTGAGTGTTGTGTGCACATCCGTTTTACTGGCTTATTTGTGTGTAGTTGGCTGTTGCTTGCCATTTAGGCAGATGTACTCTTGACTTGATACATGCAGTAGTAGATCGCAGATTGTGGAGAGGCATGATTGCCCACGTCAGTCAAGACACTTTATGAGGATGAGAGTGTTTTAGACCCGTTTGCAAGACTTCAGATGCATGAAGTATACTATGGTACTATGGTGTGGGTTGAAGGAGTGAGAAATATAAACATCGCGGGGAAAAAAACTGAAAAACAGAACTAAACAGAGTTGTAAAGAAATGCTTGGTTAGATGCAATAAGGTCAGACTAACTGGCGCTCGACAGATAATGTAATCAATACGGCGCCGTTCGCAGTTATATCCTAAAACATTTCCTGTCTCCAATTTTAGACTGAGTCTTTTAGGACTGCACTTCAGTTGTGGTTGACTAGTAGTAGACTAAAGCTGATTGGGCACGTGACAGGATTGTGCGATAAAAGCATGCTGCGCGGACAGATAACAGCTATCGATTGCAACAACGTTTCCGGGCATCTGGCATCACCAGACACCTCCAAAGACCACGAAGAGCAAGGATTATCACACAAATGCAGGTCGGATTAGTTGGCACACTTTATTCGTGCAACTATTTCCTGTCTGCTTAAAGCACAGTGGGCACCATAAATGCAGGACATAGTTTCAGACATTTTTCTGAATATTGTTTTAATCAAGTAACAGAAAGTGTATTGATCGGCACTCATAGAAAGAAGTAGAAAGATAGAAGAACACACTAGACAACATAAAAATCGAAAGCTATAGTTACCGTGCCGGGAATTGAACCTGTCACCTCCAGACGGCGTGTGCGCCTCCCCATTGATACAAGTGCACTAAGAACATGGTCAACTAAGCACCCCCCCCCCCCCAAAAAGGTGTCTTTTTGGCCATGTCTATCGTACAGCTTGAAATCCACCACTGTGAAATACGGACAGAATTCATTTCAAACCTTTGAAAAGGCACCATAGGTTACAGAAATTTATATTAATGAATATTGTTTTACGCCGTCTGAGGAAAGCAAACTTACGAAAACAACAGACTGTCCGACGCCCTCTACTTCAGCCATGATACAACCAGAATGGACTTCAGTGGGCACTTGGTCGCGAAGCAATGGTAGTCAGTCGTGTTCTCAATCAAGTAAAGATTCCGGATGGAAAGTCATGATGGGGGAATCAGAGTGTACAAACGCCCAGGTAAACGATATGCTCATAGCTGCTGCCGACATTGGAAAGCACATTGGTGACTAGGCAGTAAGACTATATGTTGGATGTTGAATATTGAATTTAGAATTGATCGCACAGCACTCAGGACATTCCCATATGCGCCTCGTCCTCATCTCCAACAGCAAGCGCTGAGTTCTAGTTCCTATGGTATCAGTAACAGTCTGACAGTATACCCGTCTCGCCTTTCATGTGAGCCCTGAGTCTTGGCCAAATCCCCTTGTCACTTCTAAGCAGTGTGAAGTTTCATTTCGACCGCCTACCAATGTCAGTTTCGCCTCGCTCATGTTTATCAGGCAAATTTCTTTAAAACTAATACGCTGTATAATGCCCTATGACCCTATACGAGCCTAAACTACACCAGCTAATGTAAGTAAACCTGTGTATATATATTATCATAAGTGTGTAAATATATGTATACACACACACACACACACACACATATATATATATATATATATATATATATATATATATATATATATATATATATATATATATATATATGCCCGGCTCTCTAGCGAAGTTGGTTAAACCTGACTTTCGCGGCGGCCGGGTGACGAACTCCTTGTGGTCCGGGTTCACTCCCGGGGGTAGGCAGAAAAGCCACATTTCTTCCAGATTAACGGTACCTATAATGGAATCAATGCCGAAGGGTTGCGATATCCATAGTACCGAGCCAAAGGGTTTACAACTCATGGTTTCTGGATACGTAAAAAAAAAAAAATCACGGTCTGCATGAACGAAGCTCGGTCTCTCGCCAGCTATCCCACCTCATGTACTTTCATACTCAAGGAGTCACTTATATCCTGTGCCAATCTTTTTGTTGGTCGGCCCCTGTCCCTGCTTCCTGGTACCATGCCTTCTGCTAAAAATTTTTTCCAATCCGTCGTGGCGCTTGATATGACTAATATTTTTCAGCGTCCGAGACAGGATGCTGTTTATTAACCAGTCTTCCTTTATGTTCAGTTCTTTCAAGATATCAGTATTTCTTCTCTTTTTCGTCCAAGATATTCTGAGAATCTTTCTATAGCATTTTCGCTCAAAAACCCATATTCTCTTTCTTAAGGACTGGGAGATAGTTAACTACTCACATCCATATGATGCTACAGGGAAGATGCATGCTCTCAAAATTCAGATTTTGATCTTCTTGCTGGTGCTTAACTCTTAACTATAGACTTTTTAGGCTGTTTAATTTTTGCATTGCTATGACCATCCTCTTTTTAATTTCTGTCAGTCTCCATTGCTATTTGTTATAGAGCCTAGATAATCAAAGTTAGTGACATTTTCAATTATTTCACCATTTTTTATTTTTGTTTGGGTGACAGCCAATTTTATCTGTGGACATTTTTTTTCGTTTTCTTCAAATTCAAGAACAGATTTTGATCTTCATTGTGCTTTTGGACAGACAATATTAAATTGTCCCTTTACACTGTTCGAAAGGAGGACTGTATCATCTGCGTAGCGGAGTTCCGGAATAGGGTTACCACAAATTTTGAGCGGATCATAACTGTCACAAGTCTTGTTATTTTTGACATTTCTCATTATATGTTATGCCTCTATTTTAACTAGGTATGGTGAAAGAATGCACCCCTGCCTCACTCTTATTTGCACCTCGAACCAATCCTATGTTTCACCAGCTGCTCTGAATGCGGCTTGTTGTTCTTGATAAAGATTTTCAATTAAATGCACCGAATGCACTGGAAAACCCATACTTCTCATAATAGTCCACAGTTGGTGGTGTTGGACACAATCAAATGCCTTGCTATAATCAATAAAACAACCATAAAGATCTACGTTGTATTCTCTACATTTTTCAAAAATTATTCTCATATTAAAGATGTCATCCCTAGTTCCTCTACCCTGTCTGAAACCCGCTTGTGCTTCATGTAGCTCATATTGTAATTTTCTTTCGATCCTTTTCCTAATATATATATATATATATATATATATATATATATATATATATATATATATATATATATATATATATATATATATACATTATAATATATGGCACGCTTAAACGTCTCCAGCCAATTCTCCAGCGCTGTGTTCTTTCATAGCCCATGCCTCTTGAATGTCCAGTATCCATCTTCGCAGAGGTCGGCCTTTAACTCGTTTTCCGACAACTAGCCTCCATCACCTTTCAACCCCCCCCCCTTCCCCCCCCCCCCAAACTACCATGATGTTAAACGTGACCACAATACATCAGCTTTCGGGAAAGGATGCTCTTTATGAGCCAGTTTTCCTTAATGATCAAGTCTATAACACCAATTATGTTTTTTTTCTACAATTCTGTAAAAGCTAGCTAAAATACTATGGGAAAAAACACTCAGCTATTGAGCAAATTATAGTATCTAGCCACTGATTGCCTCAGCTTGTCATCCCATTTACCGTACACTATCATCCCATTTACCGTACACTATCATCCCATTTACCGTACACTATCATCCCATTTACCGTACACTATCATCCCATTTACCGTACACTATCATCCCTTTTACCGTACACTATCATCCCATTTACCGTACACTATCATCCCATTTACCGTACACTATCATCCCATTTACCGTACACTATCATCCCATTTACCGTACACTATCATCCCATTTACCGTACACTATCATCCCATTTACCGTACAC